TACTAAGTTACAATGTTGTCATCCTTTATAAGAATGCACCAGCCATGGAAGTTAAGCACAAAGCTAAAAAAAATATTCCTCAAACTTCATATAACTTAAATAGGGGGAAAAAACCCTTTATTTTACTCTTAATCACATTTATTACCAGTTAAATAGATCATAAGACAGGGAAAATGCTGAAAAAAGCCAAGAAATGTATAATATAGATGGGGAAGACAGTGTGCCAAAGGACAGGGAGCCAACTTAACAGATGATGCATTTAGGGGTTTCCTAGGGCTGGGTGGAGCCTAATTTACTAACAGTAGCACAAAACACATTTTGATAAGATAACCATTGGGATTTATCTGGCAATCTTGAAGAAATTTTCTCATGGTAAGCAAAATTAAAGTATTTGAAGGACTGTTCCCAAAAGTTTGAGTTATTCCAAAACTAATTTCAGAGTTTTGCCATTTGCCACTATTCATATTTACTGGAAGCTGCCTTCTAGATGAGGGGAAGGCAATCCCTGGCACAGATGCCGCAGCATGGCATGGAAAGGCATTTTGCTTGGCATGTGCACCTTGGGGTGGACAGTGGGGAAGGGGCTGGAGCTGTACTGCCACAAGGATCAGGCCCCTTGCGGCTGCTCTGCTGTCTACCCTGGCATGCCAACATCTTACAAGTCAAGGTTGTGGGTATTTTTGGCACTCTGCCGAAAAACGATGCTAAAACCAGTTCTAGATCTTCAATGAATACCTCATACAGTGATCAAACTCACCTACAGATGCATCAGATGGTCCCAAGTACTGAAATCTCTCTATATTTGCAGTACTTGGCCCCACATTCTCCTGCCATACTGAGGATTAGGGTTCACAACACCACAGTTTTCCATGTTCAGGGTCTTCCACCCGTGTCTTTTTCCCAGATGCCCAACATACCCACATTTCTTTGTGGGTAAATATATCATTTTCTTTTTAAATCAATTTGTAAACAAGACAATACCCCCACTTCATACTATTTATACACTGCTTGTTTCACTCTGACTTCTGATTTAACAAATCAAATTTCAATTAAAAGATTTTTTGCTAACAAGAGATTACATGTTGAACCATTAAAGCATCATTTTTTTCTTTTAATTTCTATTATCTTTTTGCATTCTCCTAATATCTGACAAATTAGGCTTCTGCCTATGAAAGCTCACACCTCTCTGAACCAGTTGGTCTCTAAAGTGTCAACTTGTCCTGTCTTCTGTCTGTTTTTCGTGTATTGTTTAACTGATGTCTGACTAGTATCATATTTACTTGCACATCAAACACATCTCTTTCCCCAGAATTAAACCTCCAAAATTAGGATGTCTTAAACAGGTAAGCTGATTTTTCTTCCCTGGAACTGGAGCAGGAAAGCTTTGCTACAAAAGGCCTGCCTTGTTTCTCCCTCTGCCCGTGTCAGGGAGAGAGGGGGTTGAGTTCACCCTTTAGAGGCAGAGTTACAGTGTTAACCTGCGCAGCCACAGTCACAGCCACTGCAGGCAGAATCCCCTAGAGTCGACATTCAGCCATAAATGGAAAACATTTTCTTCTTCATTCCGTCTTCCCAAAGCAAAGCGAGTGTCTTATTTTAGGGTGTGTTGTATGCAAGAAAATACAGCGGTTATCCAGCACTGCCTATTACAAAAAATGCACCTGGCAAAAGTGCCTTAAGTTACAGACTCTATGAAAAGATCAGCATTGAAAGGCCTGGGTTCAACCCAAACCTTTTGGTATAAAAATCAAATTAAAGCTGTTGGACTTGTGTGTTGTATGTTACCCTTTATTGAGCAGAGCGGTATCTTTGGAAAAAAAGAGTAAAAAAGTGCTCCTGTATATTCCAGGTTCTTGTAAAAGATCAGTTAAAAAAAAAAAAAAAAAAGAATTACATTAAAATGATTGTTCCTTAAGAAGGAAAGTTCTAGTTTGCAGTAAAATCAAGGAAAATTAAGTATTCTTTTAATTTTGTAAAATTACCATATTTGATTACAAAGAGGGTATCTTAGACAAAGGTGGACCTCCTAATCAACTGTACTCAGAAGAGAAAATTAAACTTTTAAAATAAAACTCTAGTATAATCACATGTATGGATCTGTTCTCAAAAAGTCTTATTGACTTCACAAGGGGAATTGTAGTGGATTAAATTCTTCTATTCTCTTTCCTGAAAAACCATTCCTATAAATGAAGGCAGTTTGGTAAAACAAAATCTTCAATCAGAGAAGGTCAACATGTAAGAAATTCAAGGATCCATAATGCTATTGTTTCACTGGGTTTTGCAACCTTGTTGTGGAGGCTCAGTTTCTAGGAGTGAAAAGGTTGTCTCCAGGACTCATGCAATCTTTGGCCTTTAAATGAGTGTGTCAAACGAAGAGGACATTAAAGTTGGCTCCACTTAAAACCGAAGTGAGTCTACCAACTCATTCCATAAAAACCAATGAAATACTGTTGTCCCATGAAGGATAAGAAAAAAATACCCGAATACAAGGTTTAGCCCATGAATCCAGAGACAGAAAAGAATTCAGGGAGTTCATTTTTGTTACTTATTTAGGAGAATCGACATGTAGTGTGGATTTGACAGAAGAAAATGTAAACAAATTTCAAAGATCTAAAGATTTTGATTTTCAAATCATACCACAATTTACATTATTTGTAACAGACATACCACATTATAAGTATTACAGGCCAATCTGTTCTCTTATCTGTACATATAAGTGTTGTGGATCTTCTCTTCTGTCAAGTTTGTCTCTTCATAATTTTGTTAGTTCATTCCTACTAACGTGTATGTTAATAGATCTGAACTGATATCACTATGTTAAACAGAAGAACCAATACTATAACATTTAAATATATTAAGGTTAATTTCACATTTAGGTTTTAATTGCATTCAGTCTAAGTTAGGCCTATAAGTTTCTATAAAGACAGAATATTTTTTCAAATTATGAAGAAAATCAAAGCTTAAAACAAGTCTTGCATAACTAGGTCTAGAATTTATTAATTCTGAAAGAACAAAGATACAAAATACATGTGAAAGCTACATAAAGATTTCTATAGAGTAAAAGCAGAAAGTAGGAAAAGTGAAAGGTACAGTTCAGTAATTATACAGAAAGGTATGGCATGCATTTAAGGGGTTTTTTTAAGTGCAAATTTTTTACAACAGTTCTCATTGAAAAAAAGATGCAGATTGAAAACCAACTTGTACACTTGTCACATTATCAAAAGGACCCCCAACGCAGGTATATACATATGTACATAAAGAAGTCTGAAATACAATTTTTAAGTTCTTTGTTGGAGGCACTAGATTACAGGTCTATTTAAAAATTAAATTTAATTTCAGGAAGTAAAATGGTAGCATTTATAGAGCATTTTGCAAATACTATTAATAGGTCTTCTGTTTTTATAGAGCAGCAGGATGAAGTACTTCACATTGCCATTTGTAAGCATGAAACAGTCAAAGAAATATTTACAGATCATTGACCTTACAGATAGGAAACAGTATCAAATATTCTGTGTAAAAAGATAAATAATTAAATTTATATTGTCACAGCACAAAGAAGGAATTATACAAATCATGGCACTATATACTGTATGAAACATCAAAAATAATTGTAGCACATAGATACCTTTTCTTATATTTTACATTAAATGTACAGTACAACTGTAAAATGTAAGTTCCACAACACCAACAAGCTACAAATTCTGGTTCCTGGTAACAGCAATATTGTTAAAGTCCATGTTGACAAGGAAATTCCATATTCCAATCATGGAGATAATATTGCTCTGTGATATTGCTAAACCCTGCAACTTACATTCTTATGTCCTCCTTTTTCTTAAAAATTGCCTGCTAGAAAAAATGCATTCCACACGTGAATCCTTTGGAACTATGTGGTAGATGCAATCAACTACTTTTGGGTGACGGAGTCGTGGGAAGAAAGGTATAAATGGTTATACTTTTAGACAAAAAGTATTAAATTTATGAAACAAAAGTTAAAATTATTCAAATGTTATCTAGTTGATAATGTTATTATAAACAGTACTATAATTTTCAAAGTATAATTATGGTTCCTCCTACAGTGCTGAAACTTTCCAATTTTAAAAAACTGGTGAAAGAAAATGTGAAACTAATCACTGTAATACTAAAAACACCAATGACTGAATTTTATTGTAACTGACTATTCTCAAAATATAGACTGAACAATTGTTAGGCAGCTGAGATATAGGTATTATATTTTTCCATGATCTAAGACAATGGTTCTCAAGCAGGAGTCCGTGGCCCCCTGGGGGCCTGTAAGCAGGTTTCAGGGGGTCCACCCAACCCAGCCTTGCCCGGTGTGGGGAAGAGCTGTCTTTGGACTCCCAGGACTGAAGCAAGTCCTGAGGATGGGACAGGGGTGGGCCTGCTTTGACTGGCCCCAGAGTCTCCGTCTTGTGGACAGTGCCACAGTTGGGCAGACGAGGCTCCACACTGCTGCTGCTCAGGTGAGTGTGGCCCCAGGGTGCCACACTGCAGAGCTACGCCCACTGCACCCAAGGCCAGGGAGCCCGGGCAGTCCTCTCTTGCACAGGGAGTGGCAGCAGCTCTGTGGGGCACAGGTGGGTCATGGAGTTTTTATAGCATGCTGTGTGGGAGGGTGGGTTCAGAAAGAAAAAGGTTGAAAACCCCTGCTCTAAGAGATAAGATCAGTTTGATAAGTAAGATTGTTAGAGTAACATGTATGATTTTCACGTGTGCATTAGAGTTTAACATGAAAATATTGTTGAAAGCTTGCACTTTTTTTAGCACTTATATGCACAGCCTAAATGAAATTATGCTTCTAAAGGCAACCAGAAATGTAACCATTAACACACAGAATAAGGCCATGAAGCTTCTCATTTAAAATAAATATTTAAGGTGCAGAGACTTTTTGTCTTTGTTTTAATGGTTGCCAGATATTGATAAACAACAAAGAGAGAGTAAAGTAATATTCCATGAAAAATGCTATTAAAATCTAGAAGTACCTGAATTGGATCTTTGATATCCAGGTTTTTCCTGATTACCTGCCAGCGGAGTCGGGGGTGGGTAGTTGGCTTCTGTGAGATTACTGACGTCTGTCGGTGGTGTTGGTGGTGGCAATAAAGTGCTGTTGGGGCTGCTAATGTCTCCTTCAGCCACAAGAGTCAAGTCCGCTACATTGTCATCATCTATCATCTGTATGCCTTCAGCCTGCAATTCTCTTGACTGCCTTTTCCACACTGTTGTACTGTTGTTTTCCTGCACATGTGGAATTGGAGACAACGGGGCACTAAAAGGAACGCTGTAAGTCTTCTGACTGTTAACTGTTGTCAAAGCAGTTTTATGCTTATTTTCTGAATGACCCATTTTTTTAACTGAATTTTCATTATAGTTTTGTACGGACTCCAGTTTTCCACCTGTACATTTGTCCTGGCCATCATATTTTGAAATTCTCCTGTTAAGGCCTTTAGGGCCTATAGGTGTAGAAGAAGGTGGCTCTGGTCCAGCCAGGGGTAAACGAAGAAAATCAGGCAAAACAAGGTCTTCTTTTCTTAGCAGCCCACGTTGGTCGTCTGCTCTATTACTCTGAGCTTTGGATATGAGATCAAAAAACTCTATTGGGAAAAAAACCCAAATTGACAAATTGTGTCAGAAAGCGAAATGCTATTGCTAATGTCAATAATCATTACATTTAGTTTCCAATAAGACCTTCAATTCCTTTGAATTCTACTTTAAAATTAGATTCTATGTTAATTAGGAACTTTTTCAATTACGTCAATGTTTACTAGCAGTGCTATAAGTAGAACCATCAGGATTCCTATTGTAAAAGCAGTTGTGCAGTTTAGAGCAGCTGCAATTCACTGTAAACCCTGAACTTTTTATTTTATTTTATTTCATACTTTAAAATGAATCTTTATACCTGCCTTTCATTCTTAATACAAAACAAGGTTCTGTTTCTACCAACATTTGAGCCTTTACAGTATTCGGATGCATGTTTGTATATCCTAGATGTTTCTTTGCATACCTCAACTCAAAAATAGCCATTTTCTCTGAAACCTTATTGGTTCAAAATGTAGACAGCCCTTTATTAGATAAGATTTCCTTCATTTTATTAGCAGTCGGTCAGATTAAGATTGAGTGGGTTTCTGAATCTAGCTGGCATTACAATTTTAAAGTCACAAGGTTAGCATTATCATGTTGTTTCATGTTTTAGTAACTCTGCATCTGTAAATGATACATATTTAGGATAGTTTATTACTTTATCCTGGAAAAAAGAAATGGCACAGCAATAAATTAACTTGCTGGTACTAATGTTAAACTGGAGTCTGCAAATCTACACAATAAATCACCTTCCAGGATCTAATAAGTTTGTGTTTCTAGAACTGAAAATTTAAACTCATTTGAGGTTCTCAAGCAAAATCAGTTTGGAGATTTTAAGCCAGATCATAATGGTTATCTAATTAAAATCAACAGGAAACACCTACAAAATTTAGTTTTCAGGAGCTATATTTCCTCAGCATGATATAAGGTTGTGTCATTTAACATTCCTATTATTTTATTTATAGCTTTCTAACAATATTTCGGGTCATTTGGATGAAATAATAGTAATAGATGGTGAGAAACAATTTGAAATGTGTTTGTAAAACATAAGTTAACGTAAGAGGCTTTGAACCAGAACCACTTTGTAGCTCCAAAATATATCTTTATGCTCAAGTTTTGCAAATAGCAGTAAGTGAACTAAAATATACATTTCTGAAATGTGTTTTTTGTTGTAGAATTTTTTTTCCCAGAAAGTTCATTCAAAATGTACCTACAACATTTAATAACTTTTCCCAAATTTAGATACATTTCACAAAATTCAAAATGAAATGTGAAAACCTCAGTTTCTGAGGTTTTCAGATTAGATTAATATAAGTGAGAAACATATTTACAAAAAATATTTAAAACAAGCTACTAAAGCAGCACATAATAGGAAAAACCCATTAGTACACTTTGCAGCAACACATACATGGTAACTAACAGATATTCACAACAAGGGTTTCATCAGTCACAGTATTTTATTAGACCTGAACCTGCAGAAACTTATTTATGTATATAGTCATTCATGTGTATAACTATTTATAACCTTGATCTAAATATCTGATAGCCGTAACAGTGAAGTTTAAATCTAAATCCTAGCTAGTACATTCCTTATGGCAGGGTAGGCCATTATTTCAAATAATCCTTGAGCCCAAAGGTAATATTGCTCCCATTATTTTTTTTTTTATTCCTCCCACTCTCCTGACTAATATTTCTTTACATATTTCCTATTAGAAAACACAACTGAAAAGGAAAATTATGCTGTTATCAGTGTAATCCCAGTAAAGTCACTAGCACTGCAAAGGCATCAATGAGGGAAGTCAACTCAGAAAATGCAGCTGACCAGCTATGACATGGCTTTTTCTCTTCCACTACTAGCTACCTTTTCAGAACACTTGCTGAATGAAAAGTCCTCTTCCTTTGTTTTTGCTCACCACATTACCCCACACAAACATAACCATCTTTTAAAACTTCTAAGTAATTTGGATATCATGATATGATGGTGAGAATTTTCATGACCATTTACCCTCAGTGACTTACAAATAACTTGTAGTGAGAGAGAGGCTCGTAAGTGAGAGAGAGGCTCTTAAGTACTGAAGTCATTTTTTAAAAGGGGCTATGGCCAAATTCTTTAAAGCAGGACTTTCTAACTTCTGAGCAGCCAAGGGCTGCACACAGCACTGGACACACCCTGGGGCCACCCCATCAAGCCTCTCTGCCAAATGTACAGCTCAGTTCCCCCACTACCTTGTACAGTCCAGTTGCTCTCCCTTGCTGTGCACAGCCCAGGTGCTCGCCCCTGCAGGGGCAGTCCAGCTCACAGCAGCCACACACAGCACACCCACCCACTCCCTCTGGCATACATTGTGCAGGCAGTCCATAAGCAGCAAGCAGCATGCAGCATGGGCAGCCTGGCTCCTTTTTCCAAGCACGCAGCTCATGCAGCCCTCCCTCACCACGCACAGAGCACTGGAAGCCTGGCCCTCTCCCAATGCACCACTCCGGCCCCAGCAACAGGGTCAGGAACAAGAAGCTTGAGGATAGAGAGGGAGCCTGGAGGTCTTGGCTACCGCTGCAAGGACAATGGGTAGAGTGGCAGCTGGCAGGAGCCCAAAGGGTGCATGTTGATGCCTCATAGGCTACATGCAGTCCAGAGGCCACCAATTAGACAGCCCTGCTTTAAAAGATTTTGATTCCTAAAAATGCAAAAAGCTACTGAATGGTATTTTCAAAAGTACTTAGGCATCAATCTCCCATTGGCTTCACTGGCAGTTGGGTAACTCAGCACCTTTGAAAACTGCACTAGGCACCCACTTTCAGATATAGGTACCAAAATCTCTTAACATTTTGGCTCTTGAGCACTTTTGAAAATTTCACATTGTAGACTTTTTAAAGTAATCAATTGTAAGTTAACATCAACAATGATATGAGGAACATGCCTTTGATTTTCATCATATGGTGACAGAAGCACAGTCCTTTCATTTTCTACATCTCTAAAATAGAATTTTCATTTTTTGTTGAATAGTAAAATTATTATGTATACTTAAAAAGGTGACATACCCTCTGCTTCATCCAAATTAATTTTCTGATATTTTTTTTTCCCAATCTTTGCAATAGATTCTTCTCTCTTTGATAGCCGGGCATCCCTAGCATTTTTTCCATTTTCGCCTTTCATTTTAATAGAATTAGACTTTCCTAGCGTTCTTCCCTCTCCCTGTATTAGAAGGAAAGTTAAAGTACTACTTACATTCAGGACATACCGCAATGTGTGTGTAATATACTCTAAGTGAATAAAAAGGAAATTTCATAAAACAGATTTCTCTGGTTAAAAAAAAACATAACAATTTTAATTTAATCATAATTTAATTATGGCAAAATGAGTTAGCACATATTTCCCTCCACCCCAAGAAAGTCCATATATAAAGAGAATATTGCTAGCATCACAGAAGTTTTGTTAGAGTAGCGTACTCAAGTTTTTTCCTTGGAGCTTTGGTTAGTATGCTTAAAAAAGATAACCCATTCAACTGACAGTAAGCAAAGAACATAGGCTAAAAGGACACTCACTACCATTCAGTACATGGCAAAGAAGCAGGAAAAGCTCTTACAGAAAAAGGCTGCTAGGAAGGAAGGGATTGGATGTTTTCTAACTGCCATCAATCTGGCTAACTAACATTGTGGACATAATACACTTAACTCTGAAGTAGTCCAAGTCACAAAAATTATTTTGGAGAAAATGCTCTTCTCCAATGTAAAGTAACTTGTGAAAAAAGGCAGAAGTACCTTTACACTAGAGAAAGTTGCACCAGTGTATGTATAATGTGCATGCTATTACTATGAATTTCATTAGAGATTCGTCATTTGCTGAATACAGATTGGCTCCTTTGTTATCCAGTGGCCAAGTGCTCTGGAGAGCTAGTTGTATGCCTACCTCTTAGCATAAGGTAAATTTACTGCAGATTAAAATCCAAAATTACTCTATAGTGATCATGTAGTGTGTCTTTAACCTAGTTTTGAGCGGGGATATCTGCAGCTTCCACTTTAGAATGCCAGAAGTACAGACAAGGTAATGAGAGACAGAAATCATTTTAGAAAACTTACTGTAGATGCTTGACTTCTTGAAGCAGATGTTATAGCTGTACTTTGTTTAACTGGTGAAACCTTTTGTTTATCTGTGAATACTAAACATAAAACACATGTCTTCTATCATTATGAAACTGGTAAAATTCACTTAACCACTCACATTTAAAATTTCACTGACACAAAATAACTCCTTCACTATAAGACCCCAAGAAGGAGTTGTTCGAGGAAAATAAGAAAAGGCTAGACTGATATTCATCATATTTTTCAGCTAAAATCCAGTAAGAAAACAGTTTCCCAATTGTGTTGGTGTCTTCAGAGCATAATCACCATGAACTTTTTCACACCTTTATTACAAAAGTAAAGGTTAAGGTATGTTAGAAGGCACACTCAACATATATCAGCTATCCCTTGATATAAGGATGTCTGCTGGGGGTGGGATTACTTTGTGGAAGATGTTAACATCCCTGCCAGAGGCCTGCCCGTGACATCTTTTAACGTGGAGAAGCCGGTGTACAAGCAACAACCACACTAGCTTGACAGGAGGAAGCCCTGAACTGAGTGGCCAGAATGACCAAGACAACCTTAGACCTCCATCCCGCTGGAGCCCTCCACCTTCACAGCCACAGAAAACCAGCAGGTACAACTGTTCTGCTTTGGGGTCTTCAGGAGTTTAGACCTGGGGCCTCACATCAGATCTGTTTGCCAGGGGAGACCCTACCAGGAATACAAGACTCCAGAGGACATAGCTGAAGGTCACTGGAACACGCAAGCCTCTCCACCAATGTTACCGTCGAAGGAGAGAACTCATACGCATGAGTACTTACATTGATTTTTCATTTCTGTAGAATACACTTTGCACTGGATCATTTAGTCATATGTAATGCCCCAAAGTACAAGGACAGCATAAAACAAGTAGCTCGTTCTCCCTGTGTGTATGCCAATTTCAAGGTACATTTTTTGATAATTCAAGTCAATCAGATCCCAAAGCAAGTAATAAATCTCACTTTTCCCCAACAAACCTCTCTATTTTATCAATTTCCCCCAATGAGATTCTCTGTTCCAAACTACTTTAAAACATAATCTACTTATATTTAAAATAAAGTGGTTTTATACCTACACAGATGACTAGTAATAGCATATGAGAACAATAATCTTTAGTTATCTGAAAAGTCAGTTGTGATGAAAAATAATCTAACCACTACACAGTTACCTATTTGAAATGAACTGAATCTTAGTTCAGCTTCTATTCTCCAAGATGAGAAATCACAACTGATATCCTTTCTACCAGTCTCTGTAGAGCTCATGAATTGCTGGGACATTGGAAATAAAGACATTACCTTCAGAAGTGGTCACACATTCCAATATTAGCAAGCTCTAGCTTAGTTGTAACTGTCCAGTGCTTTCATCCAGAACTTAAACTAAAAAACTAATTACCTAATCCATATGTTTACTTAGGTGTTTAACTCTCACTGAAATTAATCAATGACTGGATTTCAATAGAAGTTAGGTATCTAAATGCCTTTGTAGATCTGGGGCTGTGAGCACTGATATGGTACTAAAAATATATGCATTTTTTTAACAATATATTTACAAACCTTCCTGCAACCGCACATTATGATAGTAAAGTTCCAGGTCAGCAGATGAAAGTCCAGTTTTTTAATATTCAGCACTGTTTGCTATTTTATCCTATAAGAATATAGGACTAAGGGGCATTTGTATATGACATTAAAGCATGTTAAATGCCACTTTGCACACTTTAATAGCATTTTTTTTTGCACGAGTTTGCAAGTTTGGGAGTGTATTGCACATTAATTCCAGCCACTGTAGCAAATTTGGTGGTGTAATGCGCCTTAAATGACTTTGGGGCGCAGCAAATTACTTTGGGGTGCAGCAAACTAAAACACCTCTAAGCAGTTTTAGTTTGCTACCTTACAGCCACGGAGGGAAATCACAGGGCCCGGTGTGGCTCAGGGGCTCTGCCGGCAGCCCCAGCAGGCAGCCTGGCAGCAGCCCAGGAAGGCAGGCTGCCCTGAAAGAAAAAAAAAAAAAAGCGGTAAGCCCAATCTTTTTTTTTTTCCATCTTCCCCAGAGGCTGCCTGCCTGTCTAAGCTGCACAGGGGCCCAGTGCTTCCCTCCGCAGCTGAGGTGTCCCCTTGGACTGTCCGAGCCGAGTGCCTGTGGGCAGGTGCTGCCTGGTGGGGCCGCCGCTGCCGCAGAGGGAAGCACCAGGACCCCACCACAGCTCAGGGACCACTCAGCCCGCCAGCAGCTCACTTTCCACCCCCAGCCACCAGAGAGGAAGGTAAGGTTTGGGTGTCTACACGCCATGGGGGTTTACTTCCTCCTTAATTAAAGCGGTGTTTTTAAAAAAAAACACTGCTTCAATTTAGGGAAAATTAAACTCCCACGTAGTCTAAAAATGCCCATAGATATCATACCATTGATCCAAGCAGCATTTATCTCACTTACATCGATTATGTTTTCCCTATGAATGTGCAACAATACTTGATGCAAGTAGTTAAGACATTAGGAGAAAAATTTCAGAACTGCTTACCTCTTCCCTTTGTTGGCTCTTTTTCATCTAGTACCACCCGCTGACCATCCAGATTAGATATAGGCAGGCCAAGATCTAGTGGCTCCTGCTCACCATTCTAAAGTCAGATCAGTTTGTACAACAAAGGAGAAAAAGAAAACAACTCTCCTTCAGAGCAACTCTTGAGTCTGGCATTTACAAAAGAGTGGTACAAATCATTATATTTCAATATACTTGAAAGAATCCTCTTGCTATCACTTTCCAAAATGTTCAAACCAAATGTGCATGATGACTTTGATTTATCTACATGCAGGGAAAGGAGGGTCAGAATAGAGTAAAAAATAGTTTGCAAACATACACAAACAGTCTAAGGCTGCCAGTGGCTGTGTTTAGCAATCTCATTTTTTCGTATGTGTTATGCAAATCAAGGAAGGTTGAAAAGATTTCATATTTTAAAAAGCAATTTGTTCATTCTCTAATTTGTTGAAATGAAAAGTTTCAAACTAGCTCAACTGCAGTATGTTTTTCAGCCATGTGGAAGACTTGGATTAAGTCTCTACCTGAGAAGTCTAAGATGGTACACAGCCTGGAAGTGCCAGTTCTAGTTATGAATGGAACTTATAACTCCCAGAGCTCTTCATACTTGATTCCAGTGAGAGAGAATATCAGGATACTATTCTTTTCAATATGGATTGGCCAGGTTATCTGTCCACCTGCAAAGCAATGAGCTATAAAGGGCAGAACTGATTTCCAGGCTTCTCCCAGGCTAGTAGGCCAGTTCTAACAGCTCTGCTCAGGCTCATTTAGTTGTGGTAATTTTGTGGTCTGATGGAGAAGATAAATCAGATCTAAAATAAATCCAGCTACTAAAGAAGGAATGAAAGTAATAATTACAGAATATCTTTATCTCAATACAGTTACATTTTTATACACAAACATTTTATACATATTTTTATGCATAAATATTAAAATACAGCAAATTTAAAAGAATACTATATATGCTTTCCCAGACAAGTAAGATTACAGATTTTAATTACATCAAAAATGACTTACTAGTCTTGCCACAAGTTCATTAAGATTTAAGCCATATTTTGCAACCACAGGCCTTAGAACTTCTGTTACTGGCTTTGTAGGTTTAGCCTTTAAACCAACCGATCTATTGATTGGAACAAGATCCAGCCTGAAACACATCAATTGTTGCAATAAGAATTCACTATCAAATGATCCAAATAGACATAAAAAGTGAAAACCCATCCCCCTCTTTGTCAAGTGCTGATCACTTTGTACACAATGGGTGCATCTACACATTAAATTAATGCGAAGTAATAAACTCAGGAGCAGCTCAAGCTAGAGTCAGCTACTCCCAGGCTCAGCTTCTACACATGCGCCTGGGACAGCAGCAGTTGGAGCCAGGGTAGAACATCCCTGGGCTGGCATCAGGCTCAGAGGGAATCAGTCCTAGGCTCCGGGTGGTTGCATCAGGCAGCAGAGAGGCTGGCTAAGCCATGAGGGTGCTAAAGTGTGAGGGCTGCCTGTCACCAACTACACGTTTTGTCATACTTAATTACTCCACCGTAAGATAGCACTGTCCCCAAGAGTACTATCTTCTGGCAGAGTTGATTAATTTACCATGCCCTAATACTAGCACACATATAGACAGCAATGCTTTACCATGGAGTTAGTTAGTCAGTTCCACAGTAACATGCATATGTAGACGCACCCAGTGAAACCACTGCAGTTTCACTGTATGGAGGGTAGCATAAAGGCACATGCAGCTGTGTAGTACCTCCCAGAGTACTTAGATTTTTCTTTTCCTTTTTCTATGGAGACTCCTCTGGCCTTTATGCTATAGTAGTAGTGGGATAAAGTGTCTCTGATCTTCCTCTATAGCTTTATATAAAGAGAAAAATTAGGTCCAATCCAGCTGCTCAGTTGGGCAGTGGAAAAAAGATCTGAAGCACAATCTAATGCAAGTTCCAATTTATTACGCTTAAATGGGTAAACTGCAATTTCCAGTGGGACGAACTACATTTGTGTTCATTCTTTCGTGGAAACAACAACTTTGGTATGACGTACCCATATGTAACAGCAACAATACACATTTACAAGCCTAATGGTGGGTTAACAAGTATCAAGAATTCATATAATCCCTTTAGAATATATGATATATTTTTATTCCTTTAGCAAAACCACATTTAGAACACCATTCCCAGTGTTAATAATAATCTTTGATTAAAAATATAGTTAAACTGGAGGGACTGCAATTAAAAATTGGATTAGTGAAAAAGAAGCTGGGCATAGGAGTAATACCCAAAATACTTTATAATTCTGTGGCCAATAATCTAGCCCTTGCCAAAAAAAAAAAAAAAAAGTGTTCCTCAATCTCAACTTTCATTTTTCCACTTGTATTCTATATGTTTGTGAAGATAATCTTGGATATATGAACTGAATGCAACTGCTAGCGCTACTTACCTAAATGTACAGAGATAATGAAACAATAACTACAAGCCGATGAAACTACTCCTTTCATCTCAGTTTCCAAACTCTATAGAATTGTTCCTGGCTTGCTAAAAATCACTTCTCCCTGTAAGCACAACTTACTATACCAGCTGCATTCTACACAAAACTGCCAAATAAACAGGGCTAAACTTGTGATCCAAGATGACAGGAACTTCATAGAAGATGAGTCAAATATATGGAACTTACCAGAAAAAATAACCCAAAATAAAAAATAATGTAGAAGTCCAAATCCTTACGTCTGCTTCACAGGGGACAGAGAAATTTGAAAAAAATGTGTGCGCTCTCTTTCAAACATCTGCAAGGGATTCACTTAAGGTAGTGAGAAGGGCTATACTAGGGACTTCTGTATCACCACAGAAAGACACAGGGGGGTTAATCACGTCATGTTTACTCACATGTACCTTGCTGAAAAATGAATTTCATTGAGTATGGAGAATTTTAAAAAGGCCTTAATGAGAAGAGTGAAAAGATTCACCTTTTATTTCCTTTCTAAAATTACAAACCACACATTTACTTTTTGAAAGGTATTTCTTTCTTTTAAAAATAATTCAGTACTAACCAATATAAAAATGGATATATTTAAAAAATATATCAGCCTAATAAAAATGGAATATGGACAAGCTATTATCAAAGTTTTCTTTCATATTTTCTAAGAATAAGACAGCTGGTAAATAGAAGTAATGTATTATGAACATCGCTTCATAAAGATCAACCAGTGACACAGAAGCCACCACACTAAAAATGTGATTTGCAAATAATCAGCTGTGCTGTGAAACATTCGACATGAGTGCTTTTTAATGCAACTTACATCCCCAGAAAGCAATACTGAATAATTCTGATGTGAATTAAACAGTCTCTGAAAACATAACAAATTTTTGTTTTAGCTAAACAGTAGTAACATATGGTACAGCCATATTTAGAGTTCAAAGAATTTGGAAACTGAACAAACCCACAAAAAAAAATACTCAGAATCTCAATCTGAAAATATAATCAAGTCACATTCTATTCATAACCTGTAGAAAATAATCCTGTAAAAGGAAAGATAATAGGTAGGCAAAAAAGAAGAAGAATGTGAATTAAAGACACTGTGTGTCATAAGGACAGTCTGACAATGTATGTATGCATTTCTCAATTGAAAATGTGGTTAACTATTCTTGTAAGGATGGAAAAACTGACACGGAGAGAATTGACTTAAAATGTTCCATGGAATTTCCATCTTTCCCATTTGCAATTTTATTACACTTTTTTGGTTACTGCCAATATTGTTTATCTACTATACATAATGTGGGGGCTCTCAACACTATGAAGTTGCAGCTCTTAAAAAGCAGTGAGCATTATAGCCATGTATGGCCCCTTTACGATACTGCATGTTTAGTCTGAGGGCTCCTAAAAATGAAATTACAACCAAAATCCCTATAGAGTGGTAAAGATAGGTTGAAAATATATATTTATTATGCTTGAATGTAATGTCAGCTTTTTCCCAATATATTTTCTAAGTAGAAATAAAAACTATGTTTTTTATATATTCTATACCAATTATATTTAAATGTAACTATTTAATACTAACAGACAGCAGTCTGGTCCTGCACAAGGAGAAAATAGAAACTGTGGTAGTGATGAACAGAAGATACTTATCTTTGCAGAAAGTCTATTTTAATTTAATTTCCTTTTAGAGTAATAAAATGCACCATTTTTTTTTACTGAATAAAGCTATTCTTTCATTTTAGGAAATACATTTAAAAGCAGATTAATTTGTTCTGAAAGTTATTTTGAATGTTTTTCTTAAAACCTATTTTGATTATTTGTTATCTGTTAGTGTTATAATGCACCCTGATCAAAAACTGAATTACACTATTATATGACACGTATATTATCAAAGAGATAATGATGAACAAAATTAAGATTTTTAAGATACAGTATAATGTTCTCTCTCTAGCTATATTAATACAAGTGAATTATTTCAGGCTCAGTGCTATAAACTCATGCTTAAATAAAGAGCTACCTTAGTATGACTTTTCCAACTGAAATCAGTCCAGAACATGATTACAATAGGATCTAATTGGTTACAGACACACGTACATCCAGATTCATTTAAAAAAGGGAATGTTTCAATAGGGTGGTAGCTTTATATTCTGACTGTTATGTGGGTACTATACAAATATAGCAAAAATCACTCCAACTTTAACAGTGGATGAAGCAGTGTTAATTTTGGCGTGATTTTGCTATATTTGCTACCCTTTTGAAACTGCTATATATACTTATATTTATATCCATTATAACCATTTAAATAATAAAAGACTGTGCTTTTTACAGATATGTTTAGCCAGAATTACTACTGAGGTGGCTACACTGCAGCCCCCTCTACATGTTACAGGTATTGTGCAATTTTACTGGTTGGGGAGCCCAGAGCCGACCCAAGCAGGGTGCAGGGACCGGGGCAAATCAGCCTATGTGGGGCCCTGCCCCTGCCCCTGCTCCGATCCCACAGGCCCCGCACCCGAAGAAGCTGCCACCGCCATTGGCAGCATTGGTGGAGGGAGGAGGATGGGTAGCAAGTGGCTGGATGCAGAGCCGCCACTCTGCCCAGCTCCAAGGGGCCCCTCAAAACACAGGACCCAGGGCAGCTGCCCCAATTCGCTCCCCCACCCAGGGGCGGCCCTGGAGGGGCCTGCAGGTGGACTCTGTCCTGGCAGTGGCAACCCCACAGCTGCTGGGACCAAGAATCCCATGGCTGCTGACTCTGTCCTGGCAGAAGTGGCCCCAAGGCTGCCAGTACTGAGAGTCCTGCAGCTGTGGGATTCGCAGCTACAAGAATTTTTTTTACTTACCTGTGCAGGGAGAGCAACCCCCAGCTTCCCCTATACTGGCAAGAAGGCATGATAGGATCTAATGCTGGATCCCACAGTCACGCCTCCTGGCATGCATGTGTGGCACGACAGGACATGCTATCCTATCACACCTTTACCTGAATGTTTAGAGGGGCTCTACATGAGTAGTACATGTTTTAATGCAGGACTGTTCACCTGGTGGCTTGTGTGTTGCATACTGCCCCCAAACATGTGGCCCACAGGCTCCTGTCCAGCTCCTGCAGCCCCCACTACTCCAACAGCTTATATGGCTGAAGTGCTCAGGCTCCCCGTCCCTCCTCCAGCTTCTACTTCCTGCCTCCTCCTAGAGACAGGGTGGGGTTGGGCTGGGTGGCAGGAAAGTGCTACAAATACAGCAGGAGAAAATCTGGGCAGCCCAGAGAGGAGCAGTGAGGAAGAGTGTGTCTTCTCTGCTTGCACTGTCTATGCAGTGGGGGAGAGCTGGGCTGCTGGGGCTGCACAAGTGGCAGGCTAGTGGCAGGTATGGTGTCCTATGAGGTACGCACCCCTGCTTCCCCTCCCTCCCGCCATCAAAATGTTTTAATAAATCCTTTGTCTCCTTACTAGAGACCTTCATATTGTTCCACTCAGTTACTGTGTTAATAACCTATGCAGAAAAAGTAACTCAGGAAAATATTCCCATTCCAAGAGGGGAGCTTACATATATGCTTAAAACTCTAAGCATATATTTAAGTGATCTCCTGGGTCAGGGCTTCAACAGACAAACTTCAACAAATCAAAGGCCTTGTAGATTAAAAGAGGAATTTTAATTGGTCTCAAGTTGCAGCAAGGGAAGTTTAGGTTAGACATTAGGAAGAACTTTCTTACTAGGAGGGTAGTAAAACACTGGAACAGGTTACCCAGAGAGGTGGTGGAAGCTTCGTTCTTGGAGGTTTTTAAGATCTGGCTAGACAAAACCTTGGCTGGGATGATCTAGTTGGGGATGGATGGTCCTGCTTTGAGCAGGGGGCTGGACTAGATAATCTACTGAGGTTCCTTCGCACCCTAATTTTCTATGATTCCACAGTGAATCTGCACAATTAGGATTTCTAACTTGATCAAGGATTTGCAGGATTGGTCACATATATATTATACACATACTAGCGAAAGGGTCACCAGTCTTGAAATAAGTTGCCAAACACTGAGGGAATTTTCAGCACTGACCATCATACATTGAAAGTGACTATGTATCTTGAAGAAGAGCATGTGTAGGGGTCAAAAGATCAAATTTTAAAGGGCTGCTTTTTTCTAAAGTAGTAGTGGAAGCACGAATATGTCAACAGGGTCGGAAAGTACAAGGGGAAGGATTTTAATGGGAACTGTGGGTGCTCAATAGGTTTGAAGAATCATGTATTTTGTTTAAGTATCTACTGTACATCCGGATTTTTTGACAGTTCTACATCAAACTTTTAGTACTATTCCTATCATTTTTGTGGAAAACCATGTACTGTATTTGTTATGCAAAGGACAAAAAACTTCCCCAGATTTTTAGAAGGGTCCTGGATTCATTTATAACCTTGGTCTTATACACAACTAAAGACCGCCTTACAGGTAACAGAGCACCAAAGATGCACTTTTTTAATGGTCAGTTAAAGTATCTCACTTTCCAAAATGCAATTTGTTTCCATATGTTTTAGGTGGCTAGTTTCACAAGTATTACAGGCCAAATTCTGTTCTGCATTACACTATCTTCTGTTGTCTTACATGAATTAACTCATGTCATGTTTTAGCCTATATACATTAGATGAAATTGAAAATCCACAAAAAAGTGATAAACTTTTTTTCTTACCGAAATAAAGTACGCTTTTCCAAACGCAGATCCCGAGAATCCAGGATGCTACTGTCTTGATGCAATACCAGTGGCTATAGAGCACGATAGGAATAAAAGAACAGAAAATAGATTCAATTAGAAAAAACTTCTTGTTATATATTATTCAATAATATGGAATAGAAAGTACAGCTGTACACAAACAAAAACACAGCTTTCAAATTAGCCAGGACAGACAAAAAGATTAATAATTATGTTTTGTGTACTACTGTTCTTTACATTTATAGAAAATATATTTAGTTTCCTTTTTTCCTTGGTTGTTCCAAAAAAGGTATTGTTGAGTTTGGTGAGGTGCATCTTCTAACTTCCACTGAAGTCAACAGGACTCTCAGCACACACCTCACATGAGGCCTCCACTCTTATAACTGAGCAAGCAGAACAAGAGGTTTGAAATGAGAATGGTGGCTGAAAAATTTGAAAGATTTAAAAGAATAGACACAATGGGCACATCTACTCATTCAATACGTGTTTTAGCTGTTACTCCGTCATTACTGCACAGTCCCAGTGGCGCACAGGTTGTTTCCGATCCTACTGCGCAGTAGCATTGGCACCAGGGTTCGTGCCTGCCAACACTACACTGCTGTAGCTTGTTGCTATGGCAATGTAGAATCACAAAGAGATGGCCAATGTAATGTAAATTATTATGTTATGGCCATCGGTGTGACCTCTACCTTAACACGAGATAACAGAGTCTGCACCAAGTCCATAACTTCTCTTGAGCTATGGCACCATTTTTTAGAAAGATATTCACCCCCTGTCCATGCAAATTGTTCCAGCAGTACATACCCTTAATGTTAAAAATGTGTGCCTTCTACCTTAGAATTTGTCTAGATTCGTTTTCCATTCATGGATCTCATTCTGTTGTCTTCTGGTACACTAGCATGCCATCTGCCATCAAAATCAACTTACCTCTTACTTAGGGCTGTGCGAAGCTTCAGTAGCCGATTCAATTCGGAGGAGATTTGGCCCGATTCGGGGACTGAATCGCTGAATCCGAATCAAATTGGGAGATCTATTAAAAGGTCTGAATCGAATCGGAAGCCTCTGAATTCAGAGATTCAGGTGGTCCCCGCTCGCCACCACAGGGAGCTGGACCCAGGCTCCAAGCCAATAAATATGGGGCAGAAGGAACGCCCCCACCAGCTGCCCCCTCACACACCCGAGCGCCCCCACCCAAACCCA